AAAAAAAAAAAAAAAAACCCTGCTGTCCAGCCATACTGTTTTGTATTCATGGGCCTATTTGAACTGTTTGAATATATGAATGAATTTGTAGAAAGCTAACTTGGAAAGCTTTTCAGCCATTATTACACAATTCTTCCTACACCCTCTTTCTCTGTTCTCTTCTTCTGGGACTTCCCTTGCCAACTGCTTGCTTTTCATGTTGCCTCTCAGGTCTCAGAGACGCTGTCCGTGTTCCATAATTGTTTTTTTGTTCCTCAGACTGAATACTGTCACTTAGCTTTTCTTCAGCCCCACTGGCTCTTTCAGCCCAGGCCTGCCTTTGCACCCCTCTAATCAGTTCAGGTATTGTAAATGTCAGTTCTATTTAGTGCAGCAATTCTCAACCTGTGATCGCAACTCTCTGGTGGTCAAGCAACCCATTCATAGTGTCTGTCTAAGACCTCAGAAAACACAGGTATCTGCATTATGATTCATAACAGTAGCAAAATTCAGTTAGGAAGTAGCAGTGAAAATGGTTGGGGTCACCACATGAGAAACTGTATTAAAGGGTCAGCATTAAGGAAGTTGAGAACCACTGATTGTAATATGTCCATTCCAGATTTCTGTAGGTCCCGTTTTAAAAAACTGAATTCTTTTTACTGCCATTTCAACTTCTCAATTTGATTAGCTACCTCATAATTTTGTTTAATTCTTAAGTTGTTTGAATAGATGTTTAGTAGTTATTTAGTCTGTTTAGGCCAGTCAGTGCCTGGCTTTCTTTGGGGGATAGAACTGACCACTTTCAAGTCCCCTCTGTATGGGGCAGGTTTTTGATTTCTTTAATGCCTTGTAAATGTTGGTTATTTTATCTGGACATCTTGTGTTGACTCTGGGAATCAGCTCTTCACCCCTGCCCTGCTAAGATTTCTTGTTACTACTGTTTTTTTTTTTTTTTTTTTTTTTTTTTTTTTTTTTTTTTTTTGAAGGTGTATTATTGTAGGAAGCCACTCAAGCCTATAATCCCAGCACCCTAGAGACTGAGGCTGGAGGATTACAAATTTGTAGGCCTTGGCTACAAAGTGAAATCTTGCCTCAGAAGGCGAAAAGGAAAGAAAAAAGGGGAAGTCACCATTCAGTTAGCCTTGGGGTGATTGCTAAGGATTGAATAGAAGTACTTTTCCTCATTTCCTAAACTACAACGGAGAAAGGATTTCTTCAAGGGATATTGTTGGTATTTTAAAATTAGTACTAATTTTATTTTTACTTATGCGTATCGTGTATAGTTGTAAATACAGTGCCTGAAGTTACAGGTGGTTTGGAGGCACCTGACACTGGTGCTGGGAATAGAACTCAAGCCCTCTGGAAGAGCGGCAAGTACTCTTATCCACTGAGCTATTCTCAAGCCCCTGGTATTGATACGTTAGCGGTAGAACTTTAAGTATTGTTGATTGGAATAAAATGAGATGAACAACTTACGTAACTAGGAGGCTGTTGTTAATATGTCAGTGAGCACAGGAAACTTCATAACAAGGACAAAGCGGGAAGGGTCTCCATTTAGATTAGACTGTTAATTGTTCCTTAGCACTCATTTCGAGAGTGCTGTTTTAGAGAGCTTAACTTGCATTAGGTCTTTGGTTTGATTCTCAAAGAAGGAGGAGAAGGAGAGGGGAAAGTTAAACTTAAAATCACAAACATTGTGTTAGAAAAAGAAGTAAGATCAGAGACCTCAGTGAGCCACGGGTTTGCTGGAGAGGGTGGGGAGTAAACATGCTGGAATAGCTGCTTTCTGGGGGTGTGCATGCTACAAACACACCACCAGCACCCCTTTACTCACTTCCCTTTTCCTTCTACAGACTGTGTGAAAAGCCTGCTGGGACATGTCATCGTTGCTGGATGCCTGGTGTTCAACAGAAACTTGGCAGCACGGTAGCTCCTCTGAACAAGTGCAGGATGTCACCAGAAATCAGGGCCCCAATGAGTACAGCCTTCCTGTGATTCTAAATGGTAAGAAGTCTGAATGTTTGCCTTAGTGTCATCCTGTCGATTATTTCTATATTTTTTACTTTGTCTTTTAGTATTAACAAATTACTTCCTAAATGAGATTTCTTAAAGTGGCATCGTTTATTCTGGTGTCAAACATACTTCAAGTCGGAGTGGTGGTCCATGCCTGCAATCCCAGTTAACTTGGGAAACTGAAGCAACGTGATCATCGATAGTTCAAGGCCAACCTTTGACCTCCAAACAACAAAAATATTCTCCCCTCTACTCTCCTGCCCCCCTCCTCAAAATTATTTCAGATCTGATATGGATAATATGACAGTTTTTTTTTCAAATAGTGCTGTTAGTTACAGAACCAATTGCCATGTCACTAAATTGTTCTTTTTTGTTTGTGGGGTTTTGGTTTGGTTTGGTTTGGTTTGGTTTGGTTTGGTTTTGAAGCAGGGTCTCACTGTGTATCCTTGGCTGGCTTGGAACTGACACACATCTAACTACCTCTGACTCCTGAGTGCTGGGATTAAAGGCTTTCATATACTCAGTTTACGGGATTGTTCTTAAAAGACAAAACAAACAAACAAAAAACCCAGTTGAGGCTGGAGAGATGGCTCAGCGGGTAAGAACATTTGCTGCTTTTACAAAGGACCGGTGTTTGATTCCCAACACCTACATTGGGAGTGTTACAAAACTGCAACTGTGACTCTACCTCAGGGACTCTCTGGTTTCTGGATACCTGTACTCATGTAGACATTTTGCCCTCCCATACACATAATGAAAACTAAATCTTAGAGAACAACAACAACAACAAAAAGCCAGGGAGTTAGCTCCATCAATGAAGAGCTGAAGAGGCAGATAAGGTCAGGTCCCTGAGGCTCACTGGCTAACCAGTGATCTATAGGCCAATGAGGGACCCTGTTGCATAAAAACCTGGCAAAGAGCAACTGAGAAACAATACCCCACCCCCGATTGTATGTGCCTGTGTACACACACATACAACATTTGAATATTTATGAGCATTTTATATACTAAAAGTTGGCTAGACTCTTGGCATTTGAATTCAGACAATTTATAGAAGCTTGGTTTTCTTGTTGTTCTGTTTTGTTTTTTTTTTTTTTCTAGTTTTGAGCTAAGTAACCTGAAATTTACTGTGTGTCCAGGCCCTGATGACCTTGAACTTATGATCCATCTGCCTCTACCTCCTACATGTTGGGATTACGGATGTACTATATGTCTGATCTTATGTGGTGCTAGGCACTGAATCCAGGGTTTCATGCATGCAAAGCAAGTGGTCTACAAACTGAACTACATTCCCAGCCCAAGTCTTGTTTTTCTAAGTCTTGTTTTTCTGTCATAGCCAATGCAGGAGGTGCAGAGCTGTATTGTTTATTGAACATATGATCACTGTGAAACTACACTTGGGGTCCTCCCAACACAGTCACCCATCTAGCTTCAGTTCAGCTAAGCCTTTCCAGTCCACTTCGAATACTCAGAATTGTCTTGCTCTTGGGATCTTCAGATTGACAGTTGTTTTTAAACTTGTCTCTAAGTGTGGCACAGGTCTAAGCAGCCAAAAGCAGATTGGATCTGACCCGTGCACATCTCCTGGCAGCTGACAGCTGCTGATGTCTGCCAGGAGGAACTTAGTGATGATATTAAGATATTAAGAGGTGCTTGTTCTCTTAACTGGCAGAATACTGGCACTCCTGGCATGTGGACAGTCCAGAAATCACAGCTACGATCATCATCTGTGGTCTTGTGCTTCTATATATGTGCAGGCCAGATTATCCGGTTTTTGTTTGTTTGTTTGTTTGTTTGTTTGTTTGAGACAGTCTCTCTTAACTCTGGCTGCCCTGGAGCTCATTGTATAGACCAGGCTTGCCTCTGCCTCTTGAGTGCTGGGATTAAAGGCTTGTGGTACTACATTGAGCCTCAGATGCTTATTGTAGAATATTTTAGTACATCCTTGAATTAGGTTTGGCATTTGATTTTTACCCCCCAGTATCTGGCTTTTAATATGAGAACAATGGGTCTTTTATGAAGTGATCTCTATTCTCTAATTAAGTCAGTCTTGTTTTGTTTGAAATATATGGCCTCATAGTAAAGGAGATAGTTTTGAGCCTGAAAATATTCTGTAAACGATTCCAATTTTCTATGCCCTTCATTATGTTTTAGCACTGTCCTGTCCGGTGATAGCTTGTCCTACTGATAAACTGGTGACTCATCTGGCCACAACAGAGGGAAACTGGAGGAAATACCATTGGCATCCAAGGCCTGGAAGGTTGCCCCATCTCAAAGGGAAGCCTCTGACTGTTGTTTGAAATGCTGAGAAACTTGTTTCGGAGGAGACTGTTTTCTTATCCTGCAAAATACTACTTTTTGGGTCTTGTCCTCTCCCTAATCACCTTCTCTGTTCTAAGAATTCATCAGAAGCCTGAATTTGTTAGCATCAGACATTTGGAACTTGCTGGAGATGATGTGAACAGCAACATCAATTGCACCAAAGTTTTACAGAGTGACCCTGATGAAATCCAGAAGGTCAAGCTTGAGTTACTAACAGTGAAATTCAGGAAGCGCCCACGGTGGACACCGTATGACTATATAAACATGACCCGTGACTGTGCCTCTTTCATCAGGTTGCGCAAATATATTGTAGAGCCCCTCAGCAAAGAAGAGGTAGACTTTCCAATTGCGTATTCCATAGTGGTTCACCACAAGATTGAAATGCTTGACAGGCTGCTGAGGGCCATCTATATGCCTCAGAATTTCTACTGCATCCACGTGGACAAAAAAGCCGAGGAGCCCTTTTTAGCCGCGGTGATGGGCATTGCATCCTGCTTTGGTAACGTCTTCGTGGCCAGCCAGCTGGAGAATGTTGTTTATGCATCTTGGAGTCGGGTGCAGGCTGACCTCAACTGTATGAAGGACCTGTACAGGATGAGTGAAAGCTGGAAGTACTTGATCAATCTTTGTGGTATGGATTTCCCTATCAAAACCAACCTAGAAATTGTCAGGAAGCTCAAGTCATTCTTGGGTGAAAACAACCTGGAAACTGAGAAGATGCCTCAGAACAAGGAAGAGAGATGGAAAAAACGATATACAGTTGTTGACGGGAAGCTGACAAACACTGGGGTAGCCAAAACACAGCCTCCACTCAAAACTCCTCTTTTTTCAGGCAGTGCCTACTTCGTAGTCAGTAGGGAATATGTAGGCTATGTGCTAGAAAATGAAGATATCCGAAAGTTCATGGAGTGGGCACAGGACACATACAGCCCAGATGAGTATCTCTGGGCCACTGTCCAAAGGATCCCTGGAGTCCCTGGTTCTCTCCCCTCAAGCCATAAATATGACTTGTCTGACATGAATGCTGTCGCTAGGTTTGTCAAGTGGCAGTACTTTGAAGGCGACGTTTCGGGAGGCGCTCCTTACCCACCATGCAGCGGGGTCCACGTGCGCTCAGTGTGTGTTTTCGGAGCTGGTGACTTGAGCTGGATGCTTCGTAAACACCACTTTTTCGCTAATAAGTTTGACATGGATGTTGACCCCTTTGCCATCCAGTGTTTGGATGAGCATCTGAGGCATAAAGCCCTGGAGGCCTTAGAACACTAACTGTTGTCGGGAATCCTGGGGAAAACAAGGCTGTGTACAGTGTTACTCTCATCTGCTTCCTTCCAGAGATGGGGTTTTCAAGACAGGGTTTCTCTGTGTAGCTCTGTAGACCAGGCTGGCCTTGAACTCACAGAGGTCCGCCTGCCTCTGCCTCCTGTGTTCTGGGATTAAAGGCGTGCGCCACCACTGCCTGGCTGGGTAATGGTCAGTGTCAGAGAAGCTGCATGAATTTTGCAGAATTCAGTTAGTTACAAGAGAAGTTGATACATTAAGTGTTCTAGAGCAGATGTCAGGAAAGTTAAGATGGCTGGAGGCTGGGGAAGATTTTATGGACCCAGGTGAATAGGAAAGAGGCCAATGAAGGAATCAGCCTTCCCAACTAATCAAAGAAACCAGGTACTTAATCCAAAGGAGATTTGATTTGTGCCAAAATTCTCTTGAGAATTTTAAACATGATACTTTTCTTGACATATTAAATTTGTAGCAACAACCAATCACAAAGATGTGATTTACCTTGTATAGTTTTTGGAATGGATGTTTGGTTTTACTCTTAAATTATCCTTGTAAATCTACTCCCTGCTGTTACTCTGTGGGGGTGGTGTCTCTGTGTGTCAGCTCAGGGAGTTTAAAATATGGTCAGCATGAATATCTCCGTCTTAATTTTTGCTTATAACTATGCATACATGTTTTCCAAAGCAGGGAGGGGGGAGGACAATTTCTAGCTAACCAATTTTTATGGATTCTTTTAAGTTATTAGAAAATTCTAGGAACCAGCTGGGTGTGTGACCTGTGTTTGTGAAGCAGGATCGTCTAAGCTCAAGTGATAGTGACTGGGCTAGGCAAAGAAGCAAGACCCCATCTCTTTCAAAGGGAGAAGAAACAAACTTTTTCCAGCTATGCAATTTTTACCCTGCCTTCCCAGACTCTGCATGTTGTAAAGCGACCTATATGTCGCTGTTGGAAGGCCCAGTATCAGTGCTTTCAGTCTTTGATATGGTTCAGTCACCAGTAACTACTGCAGAAAGCTAGGGAGGATGAGGAAGGTGGAGTCTATGAGGGTCATTGCTAAGGCCCCCATACATGTTTATAGCCAATAATTGGCTCTATCACTAGAATTAAAGGTTTCTGCCTACCGGACCTGCTATTGATTTAGGTGGCAGCATCCTGGCCTTGAGTTTTCTTGTTATCTGCCCACTGGCTTTTCTTAGCCTGTTAGTTGCTAGTTTTTCCCTCTCTCATGGCCCTTGCTAAAGAGGGAAGAACAACACCTGTGTGCACATGAAGTGTTTGAAGGCCTGGGAAGACAGCTGTGGTATCACAACCAGTTTTCACCGAAAGACAAACGGTACAGGGTTTCTGTAATTCTGACTATCATCTCAGAGGAAGTTTTGTTTTGTTTTCCCCCTCTTGATATTATTTAGCTAAATCTAAACTGTTGGGCCAGAATTCCAATGATTGTGAGGCCTTGTTATTTAGTATTAAATTTTAAACAAGGATTGACACCATGTACTTTTATTCCTAAAATATAGTCAACTTTAATAATCCATGAGAAAAATCATAATATCAACAGAGAAAGTTTGCTTTCTGCCTCAAAGCTAGAATCGATTTTTTCTTGTAATGACAACTCTTATCATTAGAAAAGCCAGGTTTTGTGTTGGACCAATAGAAACATGCCTGCCTCGGAACTACAGCACTGACGGTGGTGGTCTGTGCCCGCTCTACTGGCTTCCGGTTTCTTTCTTTAGTTTGTGTCCAGGTTTCCTTGAATGCTTCTTTTAGTAGAAAGATTTTTACCTATGAGACAGGGCATCTTCTAAATCTAAAACCCGTGATACCTAGAGATATAAAATTTGTGTGAACAGCTGTGATTTGCAGTTTTTCTGTTTCTATTTTGAAAACGCAGGGGTTAAAGCAATGGTCCAGTGACCCAGCAAGTGACCCTGACCCGAAGTCACCAGCAATTAACACATAGAGCCCAATTTGCTTTATACTGGATGAACTCTTGAACTTTGCAAAACTGGAAATTAATTTTTTTAATTACAAGTGTTTTTTAAAAATCAAGCGTTGTATGTTATTCATCTGAACACTCTTAGTATTGTAGTGTGGCTGCATTTAGGTTACAGTTAAATGGCAAGTTTGAGGGTCGTTCTTTTCCCCCACTGTAGGAGTAAAACGAGGACTCTAGAGTTCCAGAGCCCACATTAACGCTGTGAAGCCTCCACATTGTCTGGTACCTCACCTTCCTAGCATTGCACTTGTTGAACTGTGTCTGAGGCTTTAGCGTCCGATGCCCGATGCAGGCAGGGCTCCTGCGGTATCTGTTACTGGGACTCAATGAATGCTGCTTTTACATTTTCCAATATGACTTAAAGCAAAAGAAAGTCATACGGTGGGGACAAATAATTTAAAGAACCAAAACAAACAAACAAACAAACTTGGAAATGAAACCATGAGACATTCCAGATGAACACAATTCCAGTTCATTGGGAGATAGATACAGGCTTTATTTAAATTACTTCATATTTGTTAATGAACACTAATTTTAAAATAAAATCATTAAGGTCTTGTATGGAAAACTTTTTAGTAATCACATTCACAAATAAAATAGGATTCTAGCTAGTAAGTCAATCAAGATGTGTATATCATTTGTTAAAAACCAATTTTAAAAGATTGTTTATTTTATAGACAACTAACTGCCTAGGTCCTCCCAAGGCCAAGGTAAAAAACTGCTTCACTTTAAAAATCAGGAACGTTATGATTTCAAAACATGTATGTGTGTCATCCATCTAGTAGGGTTCATTTAAATGCATTTATTTCCTCTTCACATGATTTGGGTTGGAAGAGGCTGTCTTAGTAGTTCATGTAGAATTGATGGAACTGGATGTTTTTAGTTGCTTAAATCATCATCATTAATGAAGTGTAAAATGCAATACCATTTATGGTAAGGTTTACTTAATGAATCAGTCATATCATCATTAAAATCAATCATTCAGAAACCAATTCTGTGTCTGCACAAATTATTCCTTCTTAGTTCTACCAATCACAGTAAAGTTAGTTTTTATATTTGTGAATAGTAATTGAAAAATCAAGGCAGAGATGTCTGAAATTACCAAGGTTAAAAAAAATAAGGAAAAAAAATGTCTGAAAGGAGGATATGGCCAGAGAAAATTACATTGCAAAATAAGGTAAAAGGTTAGGTGTGGTGGTGAACTCCAGAGGTAGGTGTGGTTGTAAACTCATGACAAGCCTGGTTTCAGTAGCCAGTACCAGGCCAGTCAGGGATAAACAATGAAACCTGTCAGAAAAAAAAAAAAAAAAAGTAACAGGTCATGCACAAAGATGAAGGTGGGACGTTCAGAAGCATGCTGTGAGTGGCATTCCCAGATGCTGGGCACATTTCAGCTTGTGTCCAGTGATGGAGAGGACAGATTTCCACAGATTAACTCCATGGCTGTAAAGCTCTGTGGCACTGTAGCATGCCTGGCATGTATGAGAACCTTGATTCTTAGCACAAAAAATAATGATAATAAAATCTTTTACAAGTTTACAGATTATTCATGTGTTAAGAGAGATCTGAAATCCATCCATTTTGCAATTTTCTAGAATCAGTTTCATCTACAATGTGTCCACAAGCACTCAGAAGCCATCAACAGGTCAGACATGATGGCATCTGGACTAAGAGCTCAGTATTTGGGGACGAGGGTCCTTTTCCCCTCAGCTATGCCTCAGACATTGAGAACTCAGCAAATGGCAGAGTCTAGGCATTTTTAGATGAAACCGGTCTGGGAAGCAGCAAAACAGATGAATTATAAGCCTTTCTCAAAACCTGAGTATTTTATAAACGTGTTGTCGTTATTAATTTTTTGTGCTGGGGATCAAATTAAGGCTCTCACACACTTGAGGCAGGCTAAGGTGTCACAGAGCCACTCCTCCAGTTCTAGTTCAATCAATTGAATTGATTGATTAATTGACTTAGATGTGGTCTCAATATATGACAAACTGGCCTCAAATTGATGATCATCCTGCCCCAACCACTCAGTTCTGAGATACAGTCAGATGCCATCATTTCTAATTTCAGATTTCTTTTTATTGGTGTGTGTGTGTGTGCTTGTGTAGAAACCATGAAATAATCTCAGTTATCATTCTCAGGAATGCTACCCAACCTCCTTTGAGAAAGGTTCTCACTGACCTGAAATTTACAAATAGCTTAGGCTGGCTGAGCCCCGAAAGTCCTAGAGATCTTGTCTCCCTCCCCAATGCTGGGATTGTAAAGGTTGCATCATTTCCAGCATTTTCACATGGTTTATTGGGCTCAGACTCAGGTCCACATGCTTTCTGTAGTTTAGTTTACCAACTAAACTATATCCCCACTCCCAACATTTTCTTACATCAAACATATGCTAACCAAAACCAAGATTTAATTTTTAGGTATCAAATTAGCTAGTGCTGTTGAATATTTCAAAACATTCATTTTCAGTACTAAAAATATTATAGGAAGAAAACTACATATAATGTGATCTTCTAAAAGCAAAGGTATTGAACAGAAAGAAGTCTGAGGAGTTTTCCGAAAACTCCTGCAACTTTTCAAGTCATTCCCTCCAGCGCCATAAAATTGTTGGCTGTCCAATCTGAATTTGGAGCCTTTTCCTCATGATTTGCCTTAGGGAATCTTATTCCCTCTACCTTGTCTGTTTACTCAGGCAGAAGAGGTCTTCCTGCCTTCTTCTTTCTACTCTTCCTCAGAAAATGATTTAAATTCAAGCTGTGAGGCTTAGCAGTGTTTTTTAAGGCCTTAGTCTTGAGTAACTATGAGATTTCTTAGTTGTATAAGTCAGGCAAAGCAATTCCCGGAAGTAGCAATGCATTTGCTATTGGGGAAAAAAAAAAAAAAAAACCTCTGGCCACTGGTGTCCCTTTATGGAAGAGGCATGCATATATGCGCCACTAATATTGGCCATGCCAATCTGCCTTCAAGGTCCCAGAGTGCTGAGTTGGTGGTG